AAAAGCCCATGGGGCGTAGCCCAAGGGAAATATGAAAATTAAATGGTATAATATTGCATTGTCTTCTATTTGTGAGCTATGTTTTAAGTTTCAAGTCTCTAGCTCATCGGGAAGTTAGTAAAAAATTGATTGAAAAATTTGTACCGGACAAGAAAGCGAGCTAATGAAAACGTTTTAATAAATAGTCTAACTTCTAATTAAAACACTACCTAATGCTCTAGATGAATTAGTCCTGTCATTTACCTAGCTCACTTCGGGTTTATCAATTGAACTTCAAGTCTTTATAAAACGATAAACAATTAAAATTGCATTGCTGACTAACCAGTACCTAGGTTCTTTCCTAAAACATTAAAAACTAGCTGTCCAGCGATAAATTGTAAATTTAAGTTCCAAATCTAATAAATTTCTCAATATTAGCAGTAGTAAATTCACCAAATTTATAGTTGGATAACAATATTTAGCTGACCAGTGCTCTTATACCACAGTACTTCTTTAAAGGTGCGTGTAAAATGTGCATATTGATGATTTATTGACAAGATGGAGGTTTGCTATCCCCAAACAACCTACGACCCATGGCCATAAATACAACCTTCTAATGGTTTTGAACTAAGTATATTATAATGCCTCAATTTGATCATTACCTCTCATGTAACCAAGGCAACTCGGAGACTTACCCGCGCATATTTTAAGCAGAAATTAATGCTAAAAGGAGGGTAGAATAAAGTGAAATAACGTCCTTTTTTACGGACAAAAAACTAAATAAAATATATGTATTTTTACCTTAAGATAGTTATCAAAAGGTAGATATTCAAGAACAGCTGAGTCAAGTTTAGATTAATCAAAAGACTAATAATCTTTTTAATAATAATAATACCGTTGATCTTTTGTCAACAAAGAGAGTTCTCCAGCTAAAAAAATAGCTCTTGGCACTGAACCATCGTTAATTTCATACTTGAATCAATAGTACTTTAAATTACTCAACGTGGAAAAAAACATGTGTGCAGTAAACGTAACATAATCAATTTCCTAATATTTATTTAATATCAGATTTTAGCAACGTACCGATGTTCGTCGAATAATTCTGGTTGTCAACACCCAATTTGTTCAGTGAAAAGCTTAAGTGGGTTTTTAAAACACGAATTGTCACAAAATTGCTCCAAGTGAGGGCCACAAGTGAACGTTCAAACGTTTGGCCAATTTAGCCACTAATTGGGTGACCAAACGGACTATTGGAAGCTCTCATGAGATTGGGACTAAATTAACCACAAGAGAAAATCAATAATCATCATGCAATCCTCTATAGCAATTCTGATAGAATTAAATTCACCTTTAACCAAGAAAATAAAAACGAATATACTTTTAAATTGTTTTTAGTAATATTATAAGTGGTTTATTTGTGTTCAAATTCCTTTCGGACATCCAAATGAATGATGGGAAATTAAATTTTAAATACATATGAATAAAAGAGTTTGTATGCTATATTTTAAGGCTACGAGGATCTTTAATAGCCTAGGGTTTTGAAAATTCTGATATTTTTACTTCATGTAAAAAAATAGAAAACAATTTTTATTAAATCTTTTTTATTACAATTTCGTGTAGTGGTTATATGGAAAATAGCAAATATATCTCCTTATGTATACATTTATTTTGTAAAAATTAAGCAATGATGCAACGAAATATTCCATTTGCTGCAGGTTCACAGCAACTGTAGTAATTAAAATAATGGTAGAGAAGGTGAGCGTTCCAACAAGTGCTAATAGTGTAATAATATAATGATAGTACGAACCATTTGCAATTGAAATTTTTGCTGCTTAACGATTGTGGAATTATAATTTTCTTTATATCTTTACCCACGGCAACCAATATTACCATATCATACAATATATTACAATAATATATAATAATATTATATATTACAATATTAAATTTCAATTCAAAAGTTTATATAGGTATGAAATTATGATAGTTCCTCCTACGGTAACCAATATTATATTTCTGTTCAAAAGTTATTGATTTTTGAAATTATGATAGTTTCTCCTACGGTAACCAATATTAAATTTCAGTTAAAAGATTTATACATAAAACTATGATAGTTTCTCCTACGGTAACCAATATTATATTTCAGTTCAAAGATTTATACATAAGATTATGATAGTTTCTCCTACGGTAACCAATATTATATTTCAGTTCAAAGATTTATACATGGAATTATGATAGTTTCTCCTACGGTAACCAATATTATATTTCAATTCAAAAGTTTTTATATGATATTATGATGGATTCAATTTATCTTTATTTGATAATTGTATGTTTTTCTATATCGTGCACTAGTCATAGTTATTCATCAGATTGTTTTTATTATTTCATATTTAGGCTTGTTTATTTGTTTTGTATTTATATACATACACAATCAACATTTATAAGGTTTTTATAAATCAACTGTCCAAACGTTGGCCTTGGTAATATACAAAGTTGCCATTTTCGTAGGTAACATCATCAATTCATTGCATAACGGCAAATGAAGTTACAGTTTTGACAATATACCAAGCAGTCAAGCAGTCTTTTAAGAGATTTTGTCCCCACAATTTAAGTACAATTTATGTCGACAGATAAACCCTTGCTTACAAAAAACTCTCGATAATAAATTAAATTTTAAATAAATAAGAATAGTTACTGGTACATCCTACTCAGTCAGGCCTAATGAGTTAGCTTAAGAATCAATAATACATACTTCATAATATATTTTGCCAAAAGAGTGTTTTTCATCACGAATTTAAAAATTGTGAGGCATATGTTTTAATTGTTTGAGTTGGATGATAACAACATCTTAATAACATAATCCAACTATTTTATGTGATAACGAATAGTCTTCAATAATCTCAGAGTTAACCGAGAGAGGAGGACCGGTCTGAACTAAATAATATTCACCTCAACCAATTTAATTGAACTTTATGGGAATAAAATAAACAGATGGTATAGTTTTTGTTAATAAAAAAGATCCTTCTTAAATGATATTGGTCGCGAAATCTCGATCTCATATTAGATTTAGATTTTATATGTGAATCGGTACTAAGTAAAATCCATTGTAATTTGTATAAGAATAGAATAGTAGGCTTTACTGTACGTCAATCTAAGACCGTATGTTCACACTGCTTGGTTAAACATGTCTATAAAATGTATTCCAGAAGCAGTTGCTACCTGTTAGATTGTTTGTTTACTATTTATATTTATGTTCTTATTGTTTGTTTTGGTAGGATGTTTAATGTGGTTACATTTGCTCGTACTGTTAAACTTGTATCATGGAGTGATGAAGGGAATGACATTTAAATCATTCATAACACGTGATTAATATTAAAGATCACATTTACTTAAAAAAATAATACAATTAGCCTACAATGGTGCCATATAATTCCTAAAATAACAATTCAGTAATTGAAAAGATCTCTAAATAGACTGTGTGGGGAGGTTCTTTGTTGTTGCTCACTACTCTGCAAAAATAACACTTGAAATGGAAAGATAAATTAACCTAACTATACTTAAACTTTATACAATAACGCTGATAAAAATTTTTAAGAAAAAAACTATGGAAAGACAATTGTAACGTAAAATAGCTTGAGAAAGAAATTCGAGTTTAAAGTTTATCATCTGCGTTTTAGGATAATCTAGTTTAGTTTCAAGAATAAAGAATTGATCAATTTTTTCCAATTTTTATTGTTAAGGTAGTTAATATTATTTAAGTTGATATTGATGCCAGGTGAACGTGTAAAAATAATTGCCAATATTTGTTTAGGTATGGAAAAGGACGATGGTAAAATTGACAAACTGGTGGCTCAAATTCAAGCAATAATAGTTTGTTACATTTACATACAAGCTCAACGTATCGACGTTGATGCCAACAGAAGAGGACTTAAATCCCTTCTTTATCCCTACAAGCCAATCAGGATTATCGTTGAAAACAGCTGTAAAGGGCAAACGTTTAAAAACTGTCTGTACTGATAAAGTAAAATTTTACTGTTTTTGTAAAATTGGAGTGTACATAAAATACAATTCCCATTTCCTCGATTGTATTTACACTTAAATATTTTATTAAACATGTAAGGTTTTTTGTTTGAAAAACATTAGGTTTAACGACTACTTAGGTTTTAACTAAAAAGTAATACATTGTATTATTCGGTAAAATTTTAATAGCTTAGTATAAAATAAATACATTTTCCAAGTTTTTAAGTATATCCATTAGATAAAGAAACTCCACAAGGTTATACTATTCTTCATAAGAATAACATACGAATATTAAGTTACCAATATCGGTTTAATTTTCTTTGTAGCCAATTACTGTAAAAAAAACTTCAAACAACGAAATTATGTGTTTTAGGCTCTACAAAATTGCTTAGAAAAATTTATGAGTTCAAGCTCAAAAATAAGAAAAATAATTTACAAAAGAATATTCAACTTTTATTATTTTTTATCACTTTGACTATTACATTGTTGATTATTCTTACGTGGTTTAATTTTTTTAAGGACTACACTATTTAAATGTGATATATGCAAATGAACTGTATTAAAATGACCTAACCGAACCTAACCTAACCTAACCTTAACTCTAGCTCGCATAGGGCAACTTGTAATAGTGAAGAACTTCTGGTAAAGACCCATAATAATTATGGCTTTTGATCGTCTAGTGCAGTATTTGTTTGTTATTCGTTTAGGTTTACTGTTCTAAAGATTTTTTTATAGTATTGTTTTTAAAATATATTTTCATTTTTGTACTAATTGCGTCTCTTCCTACCTGAAGAAGAGTTTAAGATTTCAGATTCCATAAAACTATGACTAGTCAAGTACTAATCCTTTAAACTGTCGTTTTTTTGGCAGTTATCTGTACTCCTGATTATCTAAAAAAATATAAATATATTTTACTACTTGAAAATGAAATACTGGGTAGAAATGTTCCATAGCAAACATATGTTCAGCCATGTACACTAATCGCTGTCATTAATTGACACAGCATATATGTTGCAACAGACATTATTCAATACTTGATGACACATAGGTGAACACCTGATATTATATAAGTCGTAGTGAGAAGTCTGTAGTTAGTCATTCACCGAGTAAGCCATAAGGTAGGATTTACTTTAAGTATGTACGAATGGTAGTAAAACTGTAGTCATGTATGTAGGTAGCTTTTAACATTAGTAAGTAATTATAATAAGTAAAAAAAAAGAATTTAGGTAGTTGTAAAATAGCTCTAAAAGTAAATTATCTAGGAAGGGACTTTATTCAAAAAATAACATAGCAAAACCATAGATAAAACATACCCCCTTAGTAGATTACTCATCCTTATGGAACAGCAGAAGCCAATTTTATTATTAGTTCTGTCCGGCGAACTGTATAGGTCGTGTTTTGTTTACAATTTGTTTTTTTTTATTTCAGCCATTTAAAACCTCGCTAAACAAAATAAACTATATAATCATTAATAATATATCGTACCCTAGTAATATAAGTAAAGCACAAATCATGAAATTAACCCTAAAATAATAGAAACAAAATTTCGTTATTTAGTTTTTTTTTTAGAAGCTTTATAAAAGATACAGAGACGTGTGATTCCAAATTTTGTAAAACCAAGGTGATATATTAAAGTGTATAATATTTTTTCAGACCGAATTATTTAGTAAGAATTTCGATAATATATATTTTTACAAACATGCTAGTGGTATTTTTAAACCTGCTTTTGGCTGTTTACATGGGCTTAAATATGTATGTGCTTAACATATCAAGCAAGGCTAGGGGCGACCGGCACAGTGAAAAAACTGTCCTTTAATTCTTTTAGCTGTGGAAAGAGGATGTAGTAAAATACCATCGCTGTACTGTAATTTGTCACAATCAGTTGAGCTACTTACTCGTTCAATTTAAAGTTAATTATAATATTAGAATTGTCAGTGTTTAGTAATTGTTTAAATACTACTTTCGGATGAAACTAGTAGTTTTAAGCTATACAAATAAATGAAACACAGGTTTTGGTTCAAATTCTTTCGGAAGAGCACCTTGGATGAAGAGAAAACACAACATGTGTTTGACGTTTAATATTCTACGAGTTGGATTAGTTTCGTTCACGCTCCGAAATGGGCCTAACTGAATTCAATGATCGGTCTAATCTTAGTGTACAATAGTATTCTACATAGAGGCCGATTATAAGGTGGATAGCGCTAGTGCTGCGTCTTCTGTATTAATATCTTCCAGCCAAAAATATACTACTACCAAACTCTCAATTCTATTTACCTCGACTCTAATCGATAACTTATAATGTAGTAATGGTGTCAATTGTGTTTCTTTTGTAGCAACTTGCACTTTTTGGCACATTTGACACTTATGACATTCTGGACCTATTCTACTACACAACATTGTGGTGTGGTATGAAAACACTTGTTGATTCATATTAAAAAAATTGATAAATCTTGGGTGAAATTTGTATTAAATTAGACAAGTTTCTATCTAAACCAAAAAAATGTAATTTGAATTCTTGCTCACCTCACAAAATATTTCACACTTCAGTCAAATACAACCAATTATTCTCTTGGTTTAAAGGTTTATTGCGGACATTTTCCATAACGATGGTAAAAAACAATACACAACGTTTCGGGATCTGGAATCTGATCCCGTCCTCAGGTGAAAAAAACTTAACTAACACATTACAACTAAATATACACAAACGCCCAACCTAAGTTGGAATACACTACAAAGGGTAGCAGTCAAAAATGCACTGTATAGCAGTCAAGTCATGATACAACATGCAAAAAAAACTAATCACAAAATACACTTGGTCTATAAAAGGTGTAGTGTGAACAGCTCACACAATGGAACACTTATAGCACCGTTCGCAAAAAAATACAATACAATTATTCTCAATACCATAAATACACTTCCAAGTCATTGTAAATAAACTGGTTGTTCCAAAAACATAGCTTATGTTGGCCTATACAGGGTGTTTTTTTAAAAACTTGCATCTTTATTTATGTAAAAACCGCAATAGATAGAAATATGCAGTTTGCGGGAATCATCTATTGACGTAGGGGGCCCAATTTTTTTTATTCAACGTTACATTCAAAATCCCCCCTTTCCCCCCTGCACCCAACTTAATTTTTTAAATAGCAAGGTACCCCTTGTGACATATAAAATGAAAGAGCATTAAAAAAAAGGTTTGATGAAAAACAAAAAATTGAAAATCGGTTCATAAATTTGTGAGATATCCCCCCCCCTTCCCTGGAACTTAATTTTTTAAATAGCAAGGTACCCCTTGTGACATATCAAATGAAAGAGCATGAAAAAAGAAAATGTTTGGTGAAATTTATTTTTCATTTGATATGTCACAAGGGGTACCTTGCTATTAAAAAAAGTTATGGGTAGGGGAAAAGGGGGGGAGGATTATCTCACAAATTCATGAGCCGATTTTCAATTTTTTTCACCAAACATTTTCTTTTTTCATGCTCTTTCATTTGATGTGTCACAAGGGGTAGCTTGCTATTAAAAAAATAAGTTCCGGGGTGGGAGGGGGGAATATCTCACAAATTTATGAACCGATTTTAATTTTTTTTCCATCAAACATTTTCTTTTTTTTATGCTCTTTCATTTGATATGTCACAAGGGGTACCTTGCTATTTAAAAAAATTTAAGTAGGGGGCAGGGGGGAAAGGGGGGAATGTGAATGTAACGTTGAATTAAAAAAAATTGGGCCCCATACGTCAATAGATGATTCCCGCAAACTGCATATTTCTATCTATTGCGGTTTTTACATAAATAAAGATGCAAGTTTTTTAAAAAAACACCCTGTATATTCGATAAACGTCTTATATTTATTTAGTAATGAGTTTTAAATGTAATCGTTAGTGAAGTTTCTGCTTTAAAATCGATTGGTAAGTGATCAATTCCAGATCGTATAGAATCTTAAGAAAAAAATCTTAGGAAAGAATTATAACTCATTAGGGTGATCCAATTTCAGTTTCTCATTTTAAATAAAAGATAGAAAACAAACCATTTACATTTACTTAAATATTACTTTATTAACAAAATATTTTATATTTTTTGTCAACTTTGACATATTAGGCCACACAAATGGCCGCCTTAAAACTTCCTACAGCACTTAATTTTTCAAGGTATTTTTATAAAATATCGACAAGTTTTGGAGGATACCATGCAATAATAAGCACAATAAATTTGCTTTTTTTCACAGTACAATGATATCACGGTGATGACATGAGGATATTCATTGCCCAATGTATTAAAATAATTCATATCAGAGAAGGCAATTTTCTTTCAATTTGAAAATATGCATAGACCTTCTGCTCTTCCAAGACCCATTCTGTATAGAATCTTAGCTGTATATGATCTTGGTGATTTAGTTTTAGGGAATTGTTTAAGATGTAAAAGTAAATCCCATTGAAAAAACACTAAAGACAGCCATAAGAAAGGCCTGGAGTCTGAATGATGATAAATTGGGAATTGAGTACCTTAGTTTTCAAAATCACTTCAGCATCAATATTCTTGGATAAAAGTTCTCCTCCATTATGCACAAGTTTAACTCTACCTCTTTCTAATGCTTCAAGTTTTCTACATTATTTTGCAAAGTTGTGCAATGTTTGAGTAGGATGGGTAAATTAATCATTCTCTTATCTCTGATTTTGTCACTTAACTTGTTTGGATTTGTTATTTATATAGAAAAACTTAGTAAATTGGAGACGTTGAGCAGTGATTAAACGATCCATTTTGTAAATGTGTTGTTATGATTTAACTGTTTATGTATTAAAAACAAGTGATGAATTGACATTGATACCAAAATAAGAAACTGAAAATAAATCATACTTTACTTACGATTTCTGCTGTGCTTAATTTGAGTAAGTGTTGATTTGAAGTACTTTTTGTTTATAGAGCCACAATGAACGCAGTGCTACTGTTTATCTCTGTGGTCATCCACGTGGTGTACTGTGAATATCCCGTGGTACAGGAAGTGCCATGTGAACGACAGAATTGGCCTAGTGCGTACTTACCAGCCAAGGATTGGAAAGAGGGTCTGCAACACTCACACCAAGGAGAAGAAGAGTAAGGCACTCAACAAAATGTTCTGACTTTATATTTGGTTATGGTTAAATACATAAAAACAAGGCAGGAGGGTTACAAAAGATAATGGATTGTCCAAACTGAAGCTCTTAAACAGTTGGGTTTCTTCTGTTATTAAGATTGATTGGTGTAATAATTTAGGGCTCAGCTGATGGAATTTCAGTAATAATGGAACGTTGATTAACAAAGCAGTATTTAAAATCATATTCATTGTTAAAAATTCTATTCAAATTGTTTCACAGATTGCTTTAAAAAAAGTTAAGTCTGTGACGGTTATGTAACGTTTTTTTCGTAACAGTTTCCTTGTTCTTCATCACGGTGCTGATCGTAAGAATACAGTACTATTAGACTAAAGACGAGTGAAATATACTGGGACCGTGGCGTCGTCCTGTAACCAGTTACTTGGAGCTTGGAGGTCACGAATTGTGGATATTTATAGCCATGATCTGTGGATACGATCATCCCTGTTGTGGATTAACGTCCACACTAGTGGGTACTACGAATATCCACAGTACTCTCCTGATAATTAGACCAATTCGTTAATTACAATGAAAAATGTGGTTCGGATTCAACTATTAACTGTTGCCTGTTCCCTTAGTTGCCATTGGCTGTATCGGCTATTAACTAACAGTCCTGTCTACATGTCGGCCTTAGTCAGTAACAAGACTATAGATCGCGCCACTCATGTCCATTCATACTTGGCTTAAAATACCTACCTTTGTATGGTTGCCATTTCGGATAAAAGTATAAAGTAAAGTTTTAAGCATAATATCAAATAGTGAACAATTTTGAAAGCCTAAATCGATCAACTCGTATGTAATCTGTGCACTTGTAAAATTGGAGACTGCTTTTGGTTGTAATGCTACCTCAAAGATATGGAGTTTTGGTGCGAAACCTCACACACTTGCTAATTTACATTTTGAACATGGAGTTGTAATGACAAAATTGATGGCAGCATTTAAGACAAAAAATATGAACTTATGGATGTGGGTGGGCAAATACTGCGTGATTATTTGCTTAGCATTCATTTGGTGATGGTGAGTTTATTTTTTAAAGAACTCATTGCGAATGGGTTCTTTTACGACTAAGTTTTCAATTTTTAAACTTATTCATATATTTTTCAATGCACAAATTTGAAAAAGAAAAGTCTATTTTGGTAGAATATTGCTTTTTGCTCATCTTGATGGACAATCTCAGGAATGATTTCTTAAATTACACACTATGTGATGTTATACATATATAAATAAATGTTAATTTACTAAATAAAATTCACGTTTTGGATAACCTTTTATATGATTTTTAGTTTTAAGCATACTAGATTTATTATTACTAATTTTAGAATTTTTTAGAACTTGTTGAGATAAGATTTGATTAAGAGGGATTTCAGGTTTAGTGGCTTAGTGGGGGCATGAACATGATTGTAAAGCATATTTTCCGTGAAATGATTTTCATATTGAGATAATGCTAAAAATCGGGTCAAATTTCCAAACATTTTTATTTTGAACCAAAGTCAATATGTTAGTAGAATACCCAATCACGATTGTCTATAGTCTAAAGGAATTCTCACACTTTTTATAACTCTGTTTAGCTTTGCTTAAATTTATATAGGCCTAATTAAGAAAACAAAACACCACTAAACAAAAACTAAATAGAGTTTATCCCTTAAAATATACACCTTGTCTTAGTTTACCTTTTCTGCGAGAAAAAAATATTCAATTTGAACTTTTAATGCTTGCAGAAAAGACAACCAAGTAAAAATTGCCGACTTCTTCATCACACTGGATGGAATGAAACTGAAAGAATCAGCTGTTCTTTGTAGAGTTGAATCAGCCGCCCAAATAAATTCCTTCTGGTTTGATATTGCCGGCCCGAAACACGAGGGCTATGTAGAAAATGAAAGCTTCGTGTTCAGCGATGGAGTAGGAATCAAAAACAAGCTGAGGCTTGGAATTAGATCAAAAGATTTTGGAAAGGAAGGTGAACATGAGAATGACATTGTGAAATTCAAGACAAGGGTACAGCTTTATGGAACCGCAGCGACTAAAGAAAATACGAAGATAACCTGCGGTGCAGGTCCAAATGGAGACATCTGCTCTAATGACAATATCAAACTTGTCATAGATATCAGAAACGAATTAGACACAGCTTAAGCTTGTTGATCGTTTCAACTATGAAGTAAAATTTGTATTGCATTAAAAAGTTTGAAGAATCTTTCGTCATTAAGTTTACTTCCGAAACTTTTCTGTAATGTAATACTTTAGTGTTTTGTTTCTTTATTGGCATATCCTACCATTTCTTTGTAAAAGGAGGTTCCAAATGTGACCCTTTTATAGATTAGATATTTTTTGTTGGTATGATCAATCCACCTATCTTAAATGTAAAGAGATTAAAACTACATTTTGCAGGTGCCATTCAAGGTGAGGGAAATGTTCGAAATAATATACCAAAGAATAATAAAACCATAAACACAAACGAAATTAATTTGCTACTAAAACGTATAAAATTGGATGTGCCTGTTATTTCAACATTCCATTGATCAGTTTTTTGCCGGAGTCCAGATCAAAAAAGGGTTTACTGTAGAATAAATATAGTTTCATAAAAGGTTCCAGAAAATTTGCCTCAGTCATCTGAGGAATAGTAAAGAAGTTTAAATTTTTGAAACGGTTGGGTCTTCATAAAGAGATTTGAATATTGAAACCTTCCCAACTATCAAATATAGACGTACTTCATGATATAGATAAACTCAAGTCCCAAGTCCAAAGTCTCGTAATCTCGATGGATAGTGTGGTGGTACAGAATTAACGTACAGTCATAGTTTTAAATGTACTGTAAATCAACAAGAAGAACATTTCTATCAACAATGAGTGCTGGTGATACTGCAGATCACACAACGGCATAAATGCTGTTTCAAATGTGTGAGTAATTTGAAACAGCATTTGTTGTTGCACAAGGAGTGTCATACTGCAGGGAATTTAGGTGGACCAACCCCAAAGCACGAGCTTGAACATGAGCATCCGCCAAAGTGAAATTGTTATTTTCAAGTAGGCGTTGTCTAACAGGACATAGACCTCAATAAATGAGTCAAGAATACAGTAATCACGTTTGCTATCGGCTGTAACTGTTTTGAATTGGTAGTCGCGACTAAGTAATCTTAGTGAGTCAACAGTCTCCTTTTATTCTCGAGTAAAACGCTAATGCCTAGCAAAAACCTGGTTCACAAGTTTGAGAAATAGATTTTTGAGACTGAGATTTTTTAAAGAATTGCATTGACTCCCATTTTCATATATTTTATGAGGTAGGTAATTGATAAAAGACGAAATTTGTCTTCCTTTGGTACTTCTAATAAAATGCTGGAATCTGTATTGTCAGTTGTTGTTTGATTGTGGATTTAACTCTAGTACTGTACATTTTGACTAAGAAGACGAACAATTCTTCTTGATTTAGTGAATTAAATTGTTATAGGAATGATAACATTTACCCTGAACAAAATAAGGCTTCAACTCACTAAAGAACTACACTTGAACAACAATTAACAATGGGCTTCAAAAAATATGTAACAACAATTAGTTTATCCATCTATTATTATAAATGTTCAAAATGATGTTGTAGTCCAGGAGCAAACTGCACATATCCAGCTTCCGTGGGATTTTTTGTGAAGGGAATGTGTGACTATGTGGAATCTCTTTATTATATGTTACATAATGGTGTAGTACCGGGTGTTTACCCTCAAATTGCGGGGTTTGGTTTTTATGACTTCGTAAAGCCAAGATGGCCGCCATGTGTGACATCTATTCATTAAATTAATAATAACTCTTTCCAGAGTAAAATAATCGAATTTTAATTTACACCATTGAATTCAGCTTAAAAAATCAAACAATTTGGTGTTTTGAATCATTGCTCTATGACCATTGGTTACCAAGATATTGAAGGCGGAAAACACAGAACATTGTCCCCATGTTATCCTAATGGGGAAAAAATAAAATTGTATATCTAGCTTATTACTCAGCATATCTTAATAATAATTGGTATATGGCTTCATTTAGTAGAGATCTACTTGATTATGGCCTAAAATCCCCCATTTTTACATTCCTGTGGCAGCAAACCTGCATACTAACTTCCAATGTTATTCTTATGGACAATTTTTTGCATGCTCGTTTATGAACATACGTGTTGAGAAATGTTAATGAGTGGCCCCATTTTAATTATTTATTGAAGCATTTGGAATTCGTTAAGTATACAGGTCTGCTGCTACGGGTAGGTATGGTATAAACAAATTACAGGTATTAGAAAATAAAATAAATTAGACTATAGTTGAGAGGCATATGTAATTTTGTAGGATTTTGAATTAAACAATTGTATGATTGTTGGCGATAGATAGGTGACATCTAATTATGACATGTAAAACCGTGTACTACCAAGTATTTTGTCTGAAAGTGTGGCCAAGCTAGTGTTTTCGTCTGCCATCTTGGATCCGCCATATTGGATATTAATAACTTTTTTATGCAATGCTAGTGTTGTAACACATCATTATGAACTAGATTTTCACGCTGATTTCAATGCTGGAATATGTTTTTAAATATATTTTTTTGTTTGGAAGGTATATTCAAATAAAAACTCTCCCTCATACATTTCTTACGGACGTTTCGTACTTTGAACATTTTTAAGATTATTTTTCTTATATCTCCAGTTCCTACTAACGCTTGCAGTTCGTTCTAGTCTTAAGATATTCAGTGATGTATGAGCTTTCATTTGAGCTATTGACCTTTAAATTCGGTCGAGTTAGAGCGTTAGATTTGAGCTACTAACCCTAACACAATATTAAATTTAACTTATTACAAATATGTTGTTATTAAAAGATGTATATCTCGGGTTGTTAATACGTCACTAAGTTCTTCCTGGTCTCAAATTACTTGGTTAATGTTTGATTTTACATTTTATTAATCACTAAATGAAATCTAAGTTATTTTAAAATGAGTCATGAACTAATAAATAATTTAACATTAAATTATCCTTATGTCCAAAACTTTCTTTGGTTAAAGACATACAGGGCTGGTCATCAGTGTTACAATTTTTAGACGTGGAACCTCTTAGTCTTATTGCCTCATCATACATCATTTACTTTGTACTTACACCAAACAAATGTTGTAACCCTGATGACCAGCCCTGTATGTCTTTAATTGATTTAACCAAAGACAAATTTCAAAATAAAAATAATTATTAATGTTAAATAAAGGCCCATGTCTCATTTTCAATTAGTCAGATTTCATTTAGTGATTAATAAAATTTTAAACCAAAAATTTACTGAGTAATTTGAGACCAGAATGAACCTTTTGCCGTATTAACAACCCGAGATATAAATCTGTTAATAAAAACTGATTTGGAAAAAGTTAAATTTAATATTGTGTTGTGGTTCATAGCTCAACTCTAACTGGTCCAATTTTAATGATCGATAGCTTAAATAAAAGCCCTTACATCACTGAATACTTTAAGACTATAACGAATTGCAAGCGATAATAAGAACTGGTTATATGAGAAAAATAATCTGAAAAATTATCAAAGTATGAAACGTCCGTAAAAAAATGTATTGGGGGGGGGGGAGTTTTCATTTCAATATATCTTCGAAACGAAAGACGATATTTACACGGTTTTCGGAATTGAAATTAGCGTAAACATCTATAGTTTATAATGATGAGTCACAACACCAGCATTACATCAAAACATTTTATTAATATCCAATATGGTGGATCCAAGACGGCGGGCCAAAAACACCAGCTTGGCCACAATACTCCCGTAGCAGCTGACCTGTATACTCAACGAATTGCAAATGCTTCAATAAATAATTAAAATGGAGCCACACATCATCATTTCTCAAAGTATGTTCATGAACAAGCATGCAAAAAATTGTCCATAAGAATAACATTGGAAGTTAGTATGCAGGTTTGCTGCCGCGGAAATGTAAAAATGGGGGATTTTAGGCCATAATCAAGTAGATCTCTACTAAATGAAGCCACATACCTATTATTATTAAGATATGCTGAGTAATAAGCTAGATATACAATTTTATTTTTTCCCCTTTAGGATAACATGGGGACAATGTTCTGTGTTTTCCGCCTTCAATATCTTGGTAACCAATGGTCATAGAGCAATGATTCAAAACACCAAATTGTTTGATTTTTTGAGCTGAATTCAATGGTGTAAATTAAAATTCGATTATTTTACTCTGGAAAGAGTTATTATTAATTTAATGAATAGATGTCACACATGGCGGCCATCTTGGATTTACGACGTCATAAAAACCAAACCCCGCAATTTGAGGGTAAACACCCGGTACTACACCATTATGTGACATATAATAAAGAGATTCCACATAGTCACACATTCCCTTCACAAAAAATCCCACGGAATACAGTTTGCCCCCCGACTATTGTATAAATAAAAGAGTCGTGTTAAATTTATAAAATTCTAATGATAAGTAAAGAAAATCTAGTCGAGGGGATTAAGATATCAAAAATGGCCAAGACATTTACAGACTCATATATATAACTAATCGGCATAGGGTGTGTATATTTTTTTTTTAAAGAGGAAGTATGTATGTATGTAAGTATATACCTCATGGACCCCGAAACCACTCGATGGATTAAAATGAAACTTTCAGGTACGGTATTATTAAGCATATCTAGAAGTAAGAGGAAGTATGTATGTATGTATGTATGTATTATCATTGGTATTATGTATGTATGTATATATACCTTAGATATACCTTATGGACTCGAAAAGCACTTGGCAGACTGTGTTGAAACTTTCAGGCATTATTAAGCATTATTCAAGGATGGTTTGTAGGAAGTTTGGTGCAGATCCGTCATAGAGGCTCCGCCCCACAGGGTTTTAAGGGGTCCAAAATCAGACTTTTGGAACTAAAATGTTTACAAATAAATATAACTTAAAATCAGATGTTTACTTTAACCTTCAGTATCCAATAGTCAATGCTTTAACCAACTGTTTTGTAGGTTTTAATAATCACAACATTCTGTATAAGTCATGATTTAAAAATTGTGCCACACTGTTTCCACAGAATGCAGCTCAAACAACCAACTATTTTACTTTTGGATAAGTCCAAATATATTAAACCCCAATCGCAGCACACCTTTGCACTCAAAGACGTTTAAACTCTCCACTATTAAATATGTAAAAATAAAAAGTAAAAACCTTTATCCAAGTATTATAAACAATAAAAGGAATGGCAATGACTTAATACCCCCACCGCAGCAAACCTACAGACTAAGCGAATTTCCATTTGCCTGATTGGATTTACACTAAAATGTCTCCTTAAAAATATCACATTTATTCCCTATTTAAATATCATAAGATTAACGAGTTCTTAGGTTTGCTGCAACAGGGAGGGTAAAGAGGCGTTTTTTGTAAAATAGTTTATAGTTAATAGTTTAGTATTAAATGAATGCATTTTCCAAATTTGATCAAAATATGCTCATAAACAAGCAAACTACAACAGTTAAAAATTTTCTCCGTAAGAATAACATAGGAGTTTTAAACGAAAATGAAATTTTTTTGAATAAAAAAGTTTCTAAATGTGATGTTTTTAGGGTCAAAAATGGGGGAAACCAATTTTTACCCCATAAACCCCCCCCCCCCAATAAACCCCTGTTCCCATAGTCCGATCATGCTGGTTCGCGAACTCGTAACCTTTTTTTAACCTAACCTAAAATATGTAATTTAGTGTATGGAAGACTAATTATTCATACGCTTTATAGTAATTGTAGGACAAATATAAGGTAGAACACGAGAGCAAAGTGCCTTTACTGGTCTCGAGAAACTTTCCACACTCGCCCGCGGCTTGTGAGTAAACATTTCTCTCATGTGCAGAAAAATACCACTTTGCACACTAGTTACACAAACAACTGTATTCTCTACCTCATTCTCCGCTCTGTTGCTACTCTATACTAAGCAAAAACCTAGCTTGTGTCCAGTTTAGAAAAATTCAAACTTCGATAAGAAGACTTTCATGGGAATTATTGAATACTACTTGTTATCAAGGTTGACTTCTTATCGAAGTTGGCAAAGTAGGATTAGGAGTATAATAATTTCTAGGGGATTTGAAAATGACGCTTTTTATCAAGGGTTTAGTTCTGGTAATTGAGGTTCTTCTGTTTTAGCGAATTTCCCTATAGGGAAGTAGCTATTACCGTAGGTGGCACGGTAAGTCCTAGACCCGGGACCGATTTACTTTTTCATTTTGATGTCCCCAGAGGCCAAAAACACCATTCGTTCAAATTTTTATATATGTATATATATATATATATATATATATATATATATATATATATATATATATATACGTCCGTGAACGCGATAACTTGAGTAATTTTTGTCCGATTTTGATGAAATTTGGTTTAAAGGTGTAAAGCGGGATAAACTTGAATGAGTTTGCGAACCAGCACGATCGGACCATGGGAACGGGGCTTTACGGGGGGTTTTATGGGGTAAAAATTGGGTTTTCTCACTTTTGACCCTCAAAACACAAAATTTCCCGATTTCTCTTTAGACCTTTTTAAAGAGCTTAAAAAAACAAATAATTTAGTATATAAAAGTATTTTTGTTCGATTGTTAGTAACGGAGAAAATTAAAAAAATTGTAAATTTAAAATTCCCATGTTATTCTTATGGAGAATATTGTCAAATGTTGTAGTTTTGCTTGTTTATGGATATATTTTGATCAAACTTGGCAAATTTATTTATTTTGTACTGAGCTATCAATATTTTACTCAAAAACACACTTTATTAGTTTCCTTGTAGCAGCAAACCTAGGTACTCGTTAAACATAATGTTATTAAAATATAATTAACTGAAAATCAATTCAGACAAATGGAAATTCGCTTAGTCGGCAGGTTTGCTGCGGTGGGGGTATTTTGTCTTTACTTAGGATACCACCTGCAAAATTCTTATTTAAAGCAGACCACCGAAGGCAACCCATCAATTTTTATATTACTATTGTCCAATTAAACATTCAACAAAACAGGCAGTACTTCAACATTACATCAGTAAGCAAAACAAGATGTAAGTAATTTTGGATCTAACTCATACAAGTATACAATATAAATATTTTATTCATCCGTGCTTATTTTCAACCTAATCTAGGATGCGAGTCATAAAGTCATTTAAGGCTCTGACGAGGAAACTGATACAAAATCCAATTTCAAAAATGTAGCTCTTATGATATACTTTGTTTAATTGAAAAAATTGTATTTTAAATCACATAATTTACACCGTACAATAAAACAAAAAATGAATTTTCACTGAAAAGCCATCAATTTCTAAGTAAATTTGATACCTTTGGCAAATAACTATCATTTTAACATGGCTTTACAGTTAATCTGCCATTAAAACCATCCACAGTTCAGGCAGGCATTGATCTCACCAACATCTGGCATGCAGGGCATCTGTTCACACATAGTTAGTTATCTACTAAATTACCTTCTACGTTTCCATTGTGACTTTTTCGCTTTGTGTTAAAACCTAAGTTTTATTTGGTGCTGCAGGTAGGTTTATTTAGTTTGAAAACATTTTTTCCAGTTTAGAAGTTTTCCAGGGATGTTTCTTTTGCGTTTGTTTTACTTTGGTCATTTTGCCATACATTTTTAACTCTTTAGAGTCCATCCAGTTTATACGCATAATTTTGTTAGTATTTTGTTTTAGATGTATCTTAAAGTAGGACAAATGAAACATTGCACGCTATTGTTTAGAACAATGCTATATAGCTATATAAATAAATTAACAATCGTCAGAGTTATCAAACGCTATTTGACCAATCCATAAATAAAAGTTGAAATACACAACTATTCATAAATTGGGATAACACATGAGTCAAGCATCAGAGTTTGTATTCTAAACGTAAACAAGAATAGTTCAACATCTAGTACTATACCATTATATAAAGTGTTTTTAGTAAAAAATCTGGAGGGATGAAAAATAAAAATCAGTGCAGAAAAATGAAAGAGGGCAATAGTCTAATATATGTGTGATATAACCAATGCAGAAATATCGGTTTATTGTTTCATAAATGATTGTTTGGCTATTGATTGATTATTATACAGTACTATCACACTTTGGGGAGCAAACCGGACTAGTAGTAGAGCTCGGGGCTTCGGGATCGAGGTCCCGGGTTCAAATCCCTGAAACCACCATTTGATTTGATCTATGAGATAACGTCACAACCCTCTCTAGGACTATCCCTAAGTAACGTGTAAGACAGTTTCGGGCTAGAACATAGCGTCCTAGCATGTAAAGTTTGGACAAAAAAATAAAATAAAACGATACCAACACACCATTGTGTGGGTAGAAATCAAGTGGAAGTTTGTTTAGGATAAAAAAACATTAATTTATACAACTTATATCATGATAAAACCGTATGAGTAAAGAAAGGTTTTATTTTCAAATCATACACATTTCTGCAACCTCAGTTATTGATATTACTTTAGCCAACAATGAACATCTAGGTGTGAATGTAAATTTAAGTTGAAGGTAAGAAGAAATGCGATGATTTGTACAATGCTACTCATACAAACTATTTCTTGGAACAATTATCAGATGAAAAATTATCAAGGGCAGCTGGGTCCAGTTTCGAACAATCAAAATTTATCGACACAAACAATATAATCACTCAGTCATCCCATACTTAGCAACAACCTAGACTTTGCCATCTTAAACCAAAGACAAATAATTAATTTTAGACTGACAAAGGAAGGTTCCGCGATGTGCCACTAGAGCGTGCTAAGTGTTCGTAAATTTACCGTTTGCTACCAGATTCATTGCCAGTACTACCACCCTTCCAAACGAATTGTTCTAACTTTTAGACTCACTCTTTAATACGGGTAAAGTAAAAAATTCTTAAATTCCGTAATTTTGAAAAGCCCACTTTTTTATAAATCACCTTAAATTTTTTAAACACGGAAATATAACGGAACAAACTCCTACTCTCAGGATTCCGGGGAGTTCTCCAGAAGTTGGCAACCCTGGCTCCAACCATCAACTTTTCATAGAAATGCTCGCTAGTGGTGCGAGCCGAAACTACACGGCACTCCTAGCGGCGAATGTCAGAATATATGCTAACCGCAGCACTGCCATCAGTCTATGTTATACTAGTCAATGGTTATACTCATTTGATCCATGTTATACTATGTTTGATATCAAACTAACATTCAGAATGCAAAATGAACGCTTAAACCAAGCCGGTTATACTCTACCCCTTAATAGGCTAATCCCCGAAGAGTGGATAGGAAAGATTTGATATAGAATTATTATTCTTCAATACTTCACTGGCAGCTAAGATGGTGTTTGCTGAAATAGCCTGTCAGTTTGGTGTTTTCCCTCAGATGGTAGGATGCTGAAAAAAACTAAAATTCATGGTAATAACAAATTATTATAATTTATGCTTCTAATAAAAAAAAACCCTTCATAGCCTTCCTTAGCTGTAAACATGTACTTTACTATTTCAGTAAACTAAGAAAAGGAAACGGTCTTATTTGGTAATACAACATTAAGAGATTGACTGGCCTAAATAGGTTTTATTCCCAACTGCTATACACTATCATTTTTTTCAAGTAGACCTAATGCTTGAACTCGTCTGCAACAATTACAAAATATATAACAACAGGTAGCCTAAAGTAAAACTATTTTGATGTGTAATTGATGTAAACATAATTAATTAAAATGTGTATTTACAATTTATAAAATTTTGATAGAACATGTGCTTTTCCATCCAAAGAGAGATAAAAGTTGAGTATTTAATATTTGACAGTTATAAGGTTATTAATTGACAGACAACTGAAATGATTACATACAATCATTGGGCAACTAAGAAAGAATCAGCTTATTACAGATTTGATTTGAGTTAATTGACAGCTGTTCTCCTGTTCTGTTCACATTTCTTGTAATAGTTGAGGTACATTTTATATATACATTATATATCCTCTAAATTAAAATAATTTAAATTCAATGAACATTTCCCTTACATCAGTACGGTATACAATATCCAATTTCTTATACCAGGTACACAGGTACACTAGTCAAGAGCTAAATTAATTAAATGTACACGCTTAATTGGGAGCTTATTTTGACAGATATTGACTAACACCATGCACGAACCATTGTTGACTCTATTGTTCGTGATACCTCTGGCTATGGCGGACTTTCCGATCGTGAAAAATATCCCTTGTAAACCTCAGATGTGGATAGAAAACCACGACGCTCATGAATGGGAATGTGGCATGGAGTCCGTGCATGGAGGAGTGAATGAGTAAGTGAAAATAACTAGTGTATTAAGAGCGCAAAGAGCGCCAGAGCCGCTAGACAACTGTAGATAACATATGTTTTGAAAGCGGCAATGACAGTGCTTATATACACACACGATTTTTCCTACCACCATAATAAACTTATCATAGCCCACAGATAATTTGTTAGGTTGTATGCAAAACATAATTTAGGCTACGTTTGCTTTATTAGGTTATGATATTTGCCTACTGGATGTTAGTGTTTTATGGAAACGAAAACAGTGAAATCACCTGATTGCGAATGAGTTAAGCGAAAATCAGCTATTTTGCGTACCGTTTACAGGTATAACAATTTTATTATTTCCATGCAATGGTAGGGAAAAAACTATAAATTTCTTTACACATGTATGGTTAATTTTGATAAACGGTTATTGTGGATAATGTACATCTCAGTCTGATGTCTTCAGTTCGCAATCTACTCTAAGTTCGGCCGCTTAGAAAGCGACCTCCTCCAGCATTGGTTTAGCATTAGCGCGCAGGTCGTTTTCTAAGCGGCCGAACTATACTTGTATTAGCCGACATTATTATCCTTAAGACTGACACGTTCCAGAGTATTTTAATCTAGTGCAGCCCAAGTGTCAAATACAGTTTGTTGAAACTTCTCCTCTGTTGGTATTTAAACGTTTGAGATAACAAAAAGTATTTTAAAAACTTTAAATTTGTACATGTTATATTTTTTCAATAAAAACTAAACTGCTGTAGCCTTCCTTGAGGAGAACAATGCTGCGTTCTAGTCTGAAAAGTCATACCAAGTTGTAGCACTTGTAGCGATGTATCGTTTTGTTTACACACCGATTCACTGGATGTCTACTAATAGTTGTATTTTGAAACATCCACTTACATATGTGATAAACCATTGATAAGGAGCTGCTCCATAGTTTGAGGAGATTTTCCTTCTAAAGCTTATAACTTTAGTCTTTCGGATTTTAAATTATACATGCATATATATATATACTCGTGTCTTATTAAAACTATTATAAGCTGCTCAACCTTTAATAATGCCACTACCTCTGTTTTCAGGAAAGAGGGAAAAGAAAAAATTGCAGACTTCTTCATCATATTGAACAACATGGATCCACAAGAGAACGCGGTATTTTGTACAGCTACTATAGAAGGAGCACAAACCGAACTGTATTGGCTGACCAAATCAGGGACGGATTTTACTCACGGGTTTGTCTTTCAATACGATAAACAAACCGTCAGGTTTGGAATCAGGGGAAAAAAGCATCAAAAGGTTTTATTACATGGGAGATTTCAGCTCTATGGCAACAGAGTACCTACCAGATACAGCATCTCCTGCGGTGCTGGGAGAAATGGTAAGTCATGTCCGGCTAATCTAAAGTTCGAAATCAGAAACCGAAAGGACTTGGGGTAGAGAGCTGTAGTTGGAGGTTGAAACGGAAAATTTAAAGTCAAAATAAATTGAGTTGTTGATGACAAGTTTGTATCTTTACCCCCCTGCCCCCCCCCCCAAGTAAATGCGTTTCTTTTTAAAATATACTTTAGCCCATCTGGTGTAGTGGTTTAAGCACCAGAATTTGATCCTGATGACAAGGGTTCGAATCTCCTGATCACTAAGAGAGAACTACTCTATAATTAGTATTTTTTAAAGCTTTAAACAATAATGTAGGCTGCTTGTGTAAAATATTGATGCTTGAAACTGGGCGACAATAGTTGACTATATTTACTTCGATCTTATCCTCCGGAAAGCATAACAAAATTAGTTTATGCACCTGCACTAACGCAATTAAACACGTTGCTATAGAACTAGATTTTAATTAGTAACCATTCGGGCTGAGTATTGTCTGGGGAAAGATCGGCATTGCCTCCCAATCACGCCTGGAATACAATATTAATTTTCTTTCTCTTCGTTTGAAGGGGGTTTTCTATGTTCCCCACGTGTGCAGCTAAGTCGTTCAAGAATGTCAGTCTGAAGATGACTGTTTGGTATCATAATTTTAAAGGAACACACACACACGAACATGTTAGTGTAAAATTAATCATCGGACATCAAATACTAATAAGACCAGAGGTTTGAACCTCTAGAGTGGCTACTGTTATAGTTATATTTTATCTTATAAGGTTTTATACTGTAGTGTTTAATAATATGAAAGATGCCATCATTTACAATTATTTACTCTTTCAGTTGGGCATGGTAAAAATGTATGCATACGAAAGAAAATATTGCTTAGACTATGGATACAACTAGTCGTTCTATTATCATTTAAAACCCATAGCCAGTCTTATGATTTAAATATAGACAGTTGAATTTATCTTTCGACAGGGCGTTCCAATAAAATCCTCGACTTCTGTTATACCATTGACTATATTCAATGGTTGTTCACAAAATCTTTAGTCAAGCTAAACTACAAGGTAAACACTGTAAGATGGAGCATCGAACTAGCTTTGCAGCCGGAAGAAAAATCGGTTTCATAATCATTGAAATTGATTTAGGATAAATAATCTATTATAAGGTTTTAGATCAAATAATCCTATCACATAGTTGTGTAAAATATATTTAATTTCTTTGGTCAGCTATCTAAAATGGTGAAATGAGAATTTATTAGTTCTGTTTGTTTCCAGTTTAATGTCATCGCAAAGGTAAACATTGTGAATTTTCTAATGCTTTTATGGAGACCAATTAATATTTACTTTTGAAAAACTCACTCAAAAACTTTGGAAATCCAAGGGGCGTAGCCCAAGAGGAACTCAAGGAAGTGATTAGATTAGGCCTATGACATTCCTCGATATGTGGAGCGTCTCTGTTTAATTTTGGCTGAATCGATTTAGTATTTTAGTCGTGACAGTTTTCCCAGACAGACAGACACCACCTCAATTTTATAATATTATACATATCATTCTTCATAGTATTCAACCTAAATAGGGAAGAAAATATGTATAATTAGGTTGCTCTGTGATTAGTTAGTTAAACTTTTGATATTTGAATACAAAGTCCTCCCTCCCTGGTAATGAATACACAAATGCATAGCACCTAGTAGATCTCTATTCCTACCCTATTATCTAAAAAACAAGGACAATATGTTAAATTATACTAAACTTTATTGGTTATTCATCAACAATTTGAAAACACCTGAAATAGTAATGAGATCATGTTTATCATAGGGAACGGTTATGGAAAATAAAATGAAAAATACAAAAAATGGAAATGGCAATGGTAGGATTTTTTTACATTTATAGAAAATTGTATTACCTACTCTACAGCTTTAATCAGCTATTCAACCCCAATACTTGTGCTGTATTTAATCCAAGTAATTTCACTGCAGGTCAAATACACATTTATAAACTTTTTTATGTCAACAATTCTGTAATCAAGGCATAATAAGTCAACGCTTTGTCACCACATGGAATTAACAGCTCAGGGCAAGAGTTGGCAGTTCAGAAAATTTATAAAACGTAATCTCCGGTACAAACACAAATCATGTAGCAGGCGAAAGTAATCATAAAAATGGTATTACAAGTTTGTGTCAAAGTGACAGTCATGACGATGGGCACTGCGCAGAAAGAAGATTAATTTCTTTTGACGATAAAATATTTTTACCTTAAGCGTAAATTATTATCCAGTGACCTTTGGATTAAAAAATATCTCAGGACGAAATTGCAGCACGAAATATTAATAATGTATAAAACTAGGTTGACTAGCCTATTACTAGAAGAAACAGATTAAAGTAGGCAAGTCTTGGGAAATGAATAGATTTAAAAACTCCAAACCATATGATTGGGAGGAAATTGTTTTTTTTTTACATCACTCAAAGATACAAAACTAAAAACACAGATAATTTAATTTATAAGGTGTTGTATTATGAATAAAAATATTATTTCATACATTTGGTGATTAGATATACAGGGTGGTAAAAAAGTCCCTGGACAGTTAAATATTTTAAAAAATAATGCAGATAGAGCTACAATACTTGGTACAAAGTTACAGGGCATAAAACTCTATTTTAACACATATTCAGTGATCCAATAACTCTTCAGGGGGACGGCCCACAAGGAGTCGGAAGAAGATCTTAAATGGAAGCATAGGTCAATATGCACATCAAATTAAAGGTCTTTTTTAGTAGAATACAATGCCACAAACCGCACTTCAAAAGGTTGACCCTGCACAAAATGACAGTTGTTCAAAGATTCATTTAATTTACATTGCTATTATACGCTTTATCCTCAGGGGGCACAGCCCTAGGAATCGGAAGATAATTGTTAACGTAAGCATAGGTCGATATGCACATCAAATTAAAGGTCTTCACTACTAGATTACGATGCCGTAAATTCAAGCTCAAAAGAATGCCTGAGTAAAAAATGGCAGTCGTTCAAAGATTCAAAATGGCGGATTCAAGAAATCTTTGAACATCTGCCATTTTGCGCAGGATCAACCTTTTGAAGTGCGGTTTGCGGCATTGTATTCTACTAAAGAAGACCTTTAATTTGATGTGCATATTGACCTATGCTTCCATTTTCCAAGATTTTCTTCTGACTCCTTGTGGGCCGTCCCCCTGAAGAGTTATTGGATCACTGAATATGTGTTAAAATATAGTTTTATGCCCTGTAACTTTGTACCAAGTATTGTAGCTCTATCTGCATCATTTCTTTTAATATTTAACTGTCCAGGGATTTTTTTACCACCCTGTATACAGGTATCGCGCAGTAGGTACAACAAATTTGGAAATAATTTTATGGGTGAAAACTAAACGCAAATTAAGAATATAATTTTTTCGCAAAACCTAGTTAGTGAGACGTCCATCATTTAGTTTCTTTTTACCAATATCCTTACCCCTATACACATATCGTCATACAATTTGTCAATGATTTAAAATATAAACATTATAACATTTGAAAATGATTATATATTAACAAATCAATTCGTTTTTTGTGTTTATAAATGTTTATTTTGAAATGGTTCGCCATTTTATAATTATTTCTAACTTGAGTTACAAAAGAACTACTTATATTGTGAAAAAAGGTCTGTAACGCTCCTATTATACGACATTAAGCTCAAAATTATCATTTAAATGGCTTACGATGCCTGCATAACCTTCGTTGCTGTTCTGGCAACTAGTTTCGGTTCTTCTGAACCATCATCAGGCCTCAAGGTGTCAGGTGATAATTTTATTTGAAGGCCGTTAACACAGTTGAATAAATAAAACATATACGAGACACGAAAAGATAGAATAAATGTTCAGTTACAAGAAACACGAAACACGAAATGAAGGATTTCTATATGCAGGTATTGTAAACCATTTAAAGTAAAATACAATATTCCGGAGGCTAAAAAACTTTTTCAAAGTTATCGAATGATAAATAACTGAATATATATATTTTAGTTGTAAAATAAGGCAAAATAAGGTTAAACAAGTCAGTGTTCACCTAATTTTGCCTTATTACTAAATTTCCAAAACTGTATGTTGTATTCACTAATTTATTTGCTGAAAAGTGGCAAGGAAAATGAGTGAGCTAAATAGAAACAAACTTTCCACTTAACTATAGCAGGAGGAAGTTTGTCCACTAAGTTGACGGAGTTGAAGTCTAATGTCCTTTGAAGGGATGGTTTACACAAGAGTCACTTTAGTCTATCATATGATAGAGTCTAAATCTTTATTAGGACACACATTTATAACACCGTTAGAGGATTAGATTGATTAAAAAGCTAAACCTAGGATCCAAATATTTAAATACCGTTTAAAATCGTTTAACGAGCATAAAGGTAAGCCAAGTCAATAAAGTGTTCCTTAAAAAACCTTTTTGAGAATAGCTTTTAAATGATTATGTATATTTTTTAAGTAATGTTTGCTAACACAATATTTTAACAGATTGTTGATTACAATGGTAAATGTCTTAGTATATTTCTTAGTAGGAAATTTTCTTAGTATATCTAGATCGGCACAAAATAAGCTCGAAACTCGAAGCTTCGATAGTATGTCTGATTTTATAGGTTATAGAATAAAATATTCCTACATATTTTATCTATCAAAAAAATAGTGATACTTGATATCAATTGCAAACCAATCATTCCTCTGATCACTATGCTATAACATATATATATATATATATATATATATTTTTACGCTAATTTACAGGTAAGAGCAATGTGGACTGTATTCAAGTTTTTTTTTATAAAGTTGGAGACACTAACCATTTCACATAAAACTGTTGTGTAGACTGGGGATCCCCTTTAATGATTCCTGAAATGCTTAAAATGTTGTTAAAATCTCAGTTTCACACAATATAGAATTAAAAATCCCTTAAATTGTCTTTAGTTAACAGTTTTAAGCCAGTGGTAGTTGGTTATGTTGGTACAGAGTGGATTATGGTATTTGAAAATGTATTAAAATGACAGTAGGCATGTAAAGTCCTCATAACAACAGGACTTGTCCACGAGTACCACTACAGAAGGAAGGAGTTGGTCATGTGATAGATCAAGTGAC